AAAAAAAAAAAGGTACAATTTGTACATTTCAGTATGTAAATAAATATGAAAAACTTTTTAAAAATTTGTCAAAGCCAATAAACGACCTAAATGAAATAAAACGAGAATAGTAAATATTCTGAAAGAGATAGAGACACGTTCGTCACATGTTCCAAATAATATTTTCAATATACATATAAATCTATCATAAATCCCAAACCTGCTACTGTGCAATAAACAGAGATATTTGTTTAAATGTAAAAAATTGTTGGAAAGCAAATTTGGACTGTTAGAAAATAAAATAGAAAGACCTAATAAAACTGAAAACATTAAGAGAGTTCAAAAGCTTATGATCATCAAAAGATACATTCGTCAAATGTGCTAAACAAATATTGTGCTTAATATTAAATAAATGATATCAATAATGTTACAGTATTGTATCATTAATTGTACTTCACTAAAGAAACTTTAATTAAAAAAAAAAACCTTCAGTTTACTCGTGTTTTAATTCTCAATTTCTCACAAATGCATGAAAATCTTCGTTTTAATCAATATCTTCACCAAACACACAAGTATCTAATTATATGTAATCAGATCGTTGCACAAATTTCCAAAAAAATTTGGAGCGAGAAATCGAACCGAATGTTCCCGAAGTTGTTCATTAACAGCATGACGACGAAGCATCATCGCAACTTGGACGAGAAATGAATGATCGTTACGCGAGCGCGCAGCGATTTATAATGCAACGCGATCTAACCGAAGAATTTCATTTCAAGCGTGTTGGGAACTCGACGAGACTTGCCGATGAATTATCCACTGCCGAATTTTTCAGCACCCGCTGACTTGAACTCGGCCAGGAAAACAAACCGCTTCGTGCATTACGAGCCGTGCCGTAATTTCATTAATGAATTCATCCCCAATTTTCGCGGCGAGCTCGCGCGTTTGTCCCTGTCCTGCGGACCTTTATATCCCCTCGGCGAGAAATTCCGGCGAACTGTCACCTTGTAATCAGAATCGCGAACGCGCAGCTTCCTTTAGACTCCCTTAAATCAGACCATTCCTCTCGGCCATTGTTCCCTGCAACCCCGTAGCGAGGTTTCGCTTCGAACGGTGGCTATAAAACGGTGGCG